TTTAACAGACAGAAGAAAGGATTTCTGTTTCAGTGTCTCAACTAATTTTAAATGTGACGTTCTGGGAGGTTGTTGATGTTTATCAGGTCACATGGTACAAAGGTTTGAGAATCTCTACTGGTTTTAAAGGATACTCGTGACCTTTGACTCCTTATCAAGTAAAAAATAGATTTTTTTTTTTTTTTTGCAGTTGTAGAATGTTTATCCACAACTCAAGAAATGCGTTTTTGTAATCTGTTCTCACAAATTTAATAATTTTCTGAAATTGATGTTTCCCAAAAAGCCGAGCTCGTCGACTGTGAGAGGGAAATGACGGTGAAGTTAAAGTCTGAGATATCTGAAGTTAATTTTTCCTATTTGTACGGCATTACTAGAACAGTTCAGCTTTTATTGGCTGGAACATTCGGACAATCCATTTACACTGCTTTATTTTTCCGAAACGGACAAATCACTTTTTTTTTTTTTTAGAGTTCCTCAACAACTCCAGCAATAATATTTGGCCCTGCAGCGTCATTCTTACTGTCACCAGTCTGACTTGGCCAAGGAGCTTTTAACATATCACTGGATACTTGCCCCGAGGCAGCCGGCAATTATTCCTCTGGAGAATATTTATAATCTAATAGAATTTCAACATGTCTCTAATGACGTTGATCCTATTGTTGGAGTGATTATTTTCACAAGGCTGTGAGTAGACAGACCAGCGCAGTGTGAGTGAAAGTCACTGATAGCTTCTATGGAAATATATCAATGAGTCAGTGTGTTCACGAGTGATGTTCTCTCTGGTCCGCTCCCAGTGAACGGCGGCCTCTGCTCGGAGAAAGACGTGGACGCCGAGCTCGCTGACGCCGAGAACGCCCTGATGCGATGCGGGCAAAACCTGCCGCTGCTGATTGGGGGTCATTCGGGGGGGCTTTATAGCCAGAATCTCCACTGTGACAGCCCCCCTAACCACCTTCTTCAGGACGGCCCTCACCAGGACTCCAGGTAAGCCGTCTCCTCGTCAAACCCACACATACGTCACGCCACCGTCTTTACCTCGGCTCATAATGTTGTTCAAACTACTGTTAGAAAAGTCAGAAGGAATTTCCTGTGAATATATATGTTGTGTTTGTTTTTTTGTTTTTTTTTTCTGTCTTTGAACCTGAGTTATTTGATCAAACGTGCATCTGGACAGACGTTCGCTCCTCACATATTGTTTTTCCATACTTTCCCCAGAGCCCAACAGGAAATGGTATTCGTGAATAGACAGAGAAGGAGGGGGTTGTGACGGGGGGGTCGGTGAGGGGGGATGGGGGGGTCACGTCTTTATTAACAACAATGATGACAAAGGTCTGCCAGTGGCTCTGCTCCCGTCCATGTTACCGTTAGCTCTGTTTTTTTTTTTTACGGCTGTGCTCGAGGGACGGGACAAAGACGATTCCTTCATGAGAGAGCTCTTCTCACATCACTCAGGGGCTTTGGACAAAATCCATAATGAGCCAAATGACAGGAATGATTATGTAGGAGATCACAGCGACGCATGGAGAAATCTGACCTGGCTCCTCCATTCAGAAGGACACGATAACCGATTCCCACCATAATACGCAGTATTGTAAATGCTGACCCTTCATTATGCCACCAAAAAACAGGTGACTCCCTATTTCTCCCCACTGTTGGCTTGGGTTTAACCCCTTTGTGTCATCAGAGACCCTCGGATGGACACACAAACCACGGGCCTGTCCGTCCCGGCACTTGTTGATGTCTCCTCATCGCTCTATTCTTAGTCATAAATACCCATTCATGTCTTTCTGCCGTGAGGAGGTCGTGTTTCATTCAGACATAAAAAAAACACATGGTCTGACCAGCGGTGGACGTTCACTGGTAACAACCTCACCACATGTCATGGTAACAGAATACCAATTAGGCTGTTTTTAAACGGAGTTCCTCATAATAGAATCAAATATTTGAGTCCGTTTTACTTATGTCTAATCACATTATTTCTATGTAAATTGAGTGAGGAATCGTAGACGGACGAGGAGCTGCAGGAGCTGACGCTGCTGTTCGCGTCTGTCATCAGCTCGGGAGCTGACAGCGCTCATATTCCTCTCTGTGTTTTTCTCATTTCAGATCCTCCTCCTTCCAGAGGACCCTGCCGGGGGCCTCACCTGGTCTGGACTGCAGGAGTGCCAGCACGGCTCGGTCCTCTCTGCCTTACCTCGTCAAGCAGGAGAACTCGATGGGTTATAAAAGTGACGGCACGGGACCGGGTTCCAGGTTCCAGGTCAGACGAACGGTACAAAGTCTGGCGTTGCCGAGGGAGGTGGCGGTGTCGGCTCCACACGTTGGTAACAACGGCAGTAGTGGAATTTGTACGGCAGGCGGTGCAGGAAGAGCTGCGGCGAGTGACGGACTGCAGCCATTTAATAATGAAGATGGCTCCTCCCCGTTAGCTTTGTCTCCGACTGGCTCCCATCATTCAGCGCGGATGATCGGCGCTAACAGTCTGAAGAGACGCTGCTTGTCCCAGTCTGTCTCTGCTATTGGCACGGGCAGGCCGACCGCCACCAGTTCACCGTCAGCCACTGGCGCGTTGTCCGAAGAGATCAATATCACCGCCACCGCCTGCTCCTCCTCCCAGATGTCAATAGTCGCCTGCGTCAACAGCTTCCGTACTAATCTCTCACCCAGCCATACTAGCAGTGCCGGCTTCTCCTCCTCCCCCCACTCCTCCCCCCCTTCCTTATTCCC